CAAGTATATGCTGTCTTCAAGGGACCCACCACACCTGTAGGGACACACATAGATTAAAAATGAAGGGATGGAAAAAGATATACCATGCAATGGAAACCAAAAACGAACAGGAGTAGCTACTCTTATATCAGTAAAATAGACTTTAAAACAAAAAACATAAAAAGAGACAAAGAAGGCCACTATATAATGATAAAAGGATCTATCCAGCTAGAAGACATAACAATCATAAACATGTATACACACAATACTAGAGCACCCAGATATATAAGGCAAACACTCTTAGACCTAAACAAAGAAATAGGATCTAATACATTAATAGTGGGTGACTTACCCATCTCTCATATGGGACAGATTTTCCAGGCAACAAATCAACAAAAAGACACAGAATTTAAACTACACCTTAGACCAACTGGACCTGGCAGATACATATAGAACATTTCACCCAAAAACTAAAGAATATACTTTCTTCTCATCAGTTCATGGAACATCCTCCAGGATAGACCACATATTAGGTCACAAATCTAGTCTCAGCAAAGTTTAAAAAATTGAAATCATTCCAACTATCTTTTCAGACCACAATGAACTAAAATTGGAAATTAATAATAAGCAAAACTGTGGACACTATACAAATACATGGAAACTAAATAATAGGCTCCTGAATGACCTATGGGTCCAAGAAGAAATTAAACAGGAAATCAAAAACTTGCTTGAAACTAATAAAAAGATATATCATACTAAGAGGGAAATTTATTGCAATAAATGCTTACATCAAAAGAATGGAAAGACTTCAAATAAATGACCTAACTCTATTCCTCAAAGAACTTGAAAAGCAACAACAATCCAAACCTAAAGTTGGTAGATGGAAAGAAATAATCAAGACTACAGCAGAACTAATTGAAATAGAGACCCCCAAAACAATAGAAAAGATCAACAAAACGAGAAGTTGGTTTTTCAAGAAGATAAATAAAATAGACAAACCATTAGCTAGGTTAACAAAAAAAGAAGAGTGAAGACCCAAAGAACAAAAATCAGAAACGAAAAGGGAGACATTACAGCCGATACCACAGAAATACAAAGAATCATCAGAGACTATTATAAACAACTGTTATTGACAACCAATATGAAAATCTGGAAGATATGGGTAAGTTTTTAGACACATACAAACAACCAAGACTGAACCAAGAAGAGTTAGAAAACCTGAACAGATCAGTAACAAGCAAGGAGATTGAAGTGGTAATTAGCAATCTTCCAACACAGAAAACTCCAGGTCCAGATGGCTTTACAGCTGAATTCTACCAAACTTTTAAAGAGGAATTAGTACTAATTTTCCTCAAACTATTCCAAACAATTGAA